AATATTAGATTAGGTTGAATAAGTCTAAGTTAAATTGATATGTAACAATTACCTCTTTGTTTCTTTTTATATAAATTCAATTTCGTACTTAATTGCAATGTAAAATTAATAAAACAGTTTGAAAAGTTAAAAAAACAAATAATTTATTTGTAAAAATGAAAGGATATTTTTTATACAATTTTTTTCAACCAATTGTTTAATTGCTCAATATCTGCAGATGTTTCAGAATCTTTATTATATGCACTACATTCAGCAAATTCAATATTTGTATCCAAATGAGAAAAGTCAAAATCTTTCCCTTGCTTGCCAAGAAAAACATTTGTTATTGATGCGTCTGTAGCTTCTAATTGACTTGCTTTTGTCATACGTAGTAAATTTATTTCTTTCTCTAACAAAGTTTTTATAACAGCTGTACCTTTTGCCATAGTCTGATCTTGTTTATTGCACAATATAAGCACTGGCTTTTTTTGTACAGCAGAATCAGAGAGTAAGTTGTATAAAAATCTGAAAGTTAAAGATTATTTTCATTACAGAATGTAATGTACCATTTGTGTGTACTTACTCTGCTACATCACGGATATCTTTCTGGAAAGTCACCGAATCAATTACATAAACAAGTCCTTTTGTGGATAACTTGAATTGATCAAAAAACTTATAACGCAGACGTTCATGTCCAGGTATATCAACAATCTTCAAGGAATGCTAAACACATCAACAACTTTAGAGGCATATGTTTTTGGAATAAAATTTGTGCTTTGTAAGAAATAATGGTTACATATTTAATAACCTTACATTATTGATTATGATATCTCCTATATTTTCTTTTACAGATGTATGTGTTTTAACAAATTTGGAACAAAGTAGACGTGCATATATCAGTGTTTTACCAGCATCACTGAGACCAGTTAATAATATATTGTTTCCTATAGATCTTTTCCTGTGCCATATGGCAAATAACACTGAACAGAAAAATAGAATAGAAATCTACATAAGCAGTAGTAATGTCTAAAGTTGAGCTGTTATTATCAAACAAATGGCTCTACAAACATAAGTTTATGGATATTAGGATAAAAGCCTAAACAAATTTTTACATAAAAATGTACCTATTTTTATATTATGTATACAATTATAATGTTATGTTTATTTCGTTACTTGCAGCTATATTTATAATGTTTATCAATTATTGTGGCTATAATGACATACATTTTCTTTGAACAAATAAATGTGATGTTTGTAGGATGTTACAAATGAGACTATGAGACTGAACATTTATTAAAAAGTAACAAAAAAACATTTAATGATACGTGAAAATTTAAAGAGAAACACTCTTATTCAATGTACTGATGTCTGTGAATTTCATGTTGTATATATAATTTAAGAATGTAATTTATTAAAAGTTTTTAAATTGACATATTTTTACTTGTCATTAGTTTATTAATTTTACTTGTCACAGAAAGAAAAACTGATGTTATTTTAAATAATGTGATAAACATCTATCTTTCATGGAGATTACATATATTAATTATAATATATTTAATTTTTAATACACAATAATCACAAGTTTTGTTGTATATAGAACATGAATTAATAGAAGAATAACCTCTGAGTCTCGTATGTAATTACCTATAGTTACAATAATCGCAATTACTGCAGCTAACACAGCCATAAATTGAGAATCCACATTGTGATCTGTCAATGATTTTACATGCTTTTCCATGGTAAAAGATATTTTAAATGTTTATTTCGTGGACAAACAAACTGTTGTAAAATATACCAGTACCTGCATGTGCGGAAGATGCTATACTATATTTTAAGTCATATGTACATGACTAAATTTAAAGAAGCGCCACCTACAACGGTAATAGGACTATATGTTGCACGCTGTGAATATTAGTAATTTATATTATTTATATTATAATTTATATTATTTATATTAAAATTTATAAAATAAGAAAAATTTGAATAGAAATGAAAATAGGAGAATAAAAGCTCGTTTTTTTTTTCTTTTGAATAAAGATTCCACTATTCGGAAGAAATTTATTATCACAAATTTCTTATTAATGAATCTGAGACATACGTGAAATAATTTTACAGATTTTAATTAAATAATGTCAACTGTCTTTAATGTCTTATGACAAGTTTTCAAATTTTTTAAATTTCTAATGGAAATAAAATTTGTTATTTCGCCTCAAGACAACAAGAGTGCGCTACGTGAATTTCATAACCACAACGTCACTTACACTTGTAGTTTAATGAACAAACGTTCGTTTGAAATAATGTTTCAAATATTGTAAATCTTTGTGAGTTATTTGCAAGTAAGAGTATAAAAAGAAATAAATTAGCAGTTTTTAAACAAACAGAATTAAAAGTAAATGATATAATCTGTAGAAGTAATTTCAGAACTTTTTCTTAGTCGAAGTTGAAAATATTATAATTAATAAGGTTCATAAATTTCTTTTTCTTAACTATTGAGTTTTAAAGTATTAATGTCCAATTAGTATTTTGAAATCACTGTATGATATTTTGTTATGAAATTGTGTGTTATAACTGAGAAAATTTGTGCTGTATTCAAAATTTTCGTTTGCTGTGCAGTCTTGAATGGAAGAGAACATCTTATAAAGTCGGAAATTCGCGCGACAAGTCGCGGCGTAGGGTGTCTGTATCGAAAATTAAAGCGAGTCGTATCGCTCCACTTCACATGTGTAATCTATTAGTATTTATCGAATAGATATATTGTTTCGTTATAATATATTACATTTTAGTAGAGTTTATATATTTGTTCATATATTTTTATAATTTTCCTTTGGTTTTATAGCTGACAGTGAGATGGCGCAAAAGGGCGCGAAATAAGAAATACGTCGTTATAGACGCCATCTTGATTTTAGACTTTTTTGAAACCGCGCGCAAAGCGGTTAAGAGTATTAGTTCTTATTGCATAATAATATTTTAAACATTTTTTAGAGTGCGGTGAGTTCAATTACGACTCTGAGTTTAATCATAACTCAAACGCGACGAGAGTAGAGTTTGTATTTACTGTGTGAAACGGTTATTATGTAAATTTATACGCGAAATTATAGTCAGTGATTGTTCGTCGATTATAAATTAAACGAGGTTAATAGTGCTTTATTTTTTTTTTTAATAATTTTTTTTCCGGTATTAGAATCAGTGTTTCTACGGAGAAAACTCAACGATGATCTAAAAGCCAAAAATGTAAGCTATTTTTATATTAGCGTTTCAGTTTTTA